AATATTTTGAAGTAACCACTTGTCAGTCAAATTTTAAATATATTAATTTTCTGCTATGCTTTCCAATTGTACCAACTTATTTCTTTGTAAAATGAAATAAACTACTTTGAAATTAAAATGACAGACACATCTATCACTGTCAAGGATCTTGTCGTTGGATAGACTATATGAGGTTCCTTTTTTGTCACTCGATATTTAAAGAACAACTCCAATTAGTTCGGAAGATTTAAAGAAAAACTTTTAAATTAGACAGAGACCACCACACCTATGATAAACGATCCTTTCAGAAACTTTATATACCTAATGAGATAACCGATAATGGGCGTTAAAGACTGCTTTAGATCCAAATTTATCGTTAACACACTGGCACGCGAATAGAGGATAACAAATTGTTCGATAACCTGGTCAACGTAAACCGCTAAATGATGAAAAATCCCCGTCAATATTTTATGGCCAAGCTCGATTAAATTGAAATCGGCGGTTTAATAACGAACTATGTCAAATTAATCACAACCATCGATAGAAGTAATCAATGCAGGGAAATAGAGAACAATGGTGGTTAAATTTAGTTAGAAACACGACTTTATGTTATGTAAGTTCGGCGTTGCCAAAGTCAAATTTGAGAGGTTTCTCTAAACTACAAACGATGAAAATCTGCGTAAACGGGGCTTCCAAATCTTCATAATTTTGGAACATTTCGTCTTAGAACTCATAAACTTCGTGGATAAGTAAATTCGCTTCATTTTTGTTGAAGACTTATCAGCGACATTCGACTATCTAAATATCTTTGTCTTTGACACTGACTGATCAATCGTCTGTCTTTCTTTTGTGTACATGTCATTTTTATGTCATGAAAATGAAAATATAAAATATAAATTAGAGAAAATTTTATTATATTGTTATTCGGATATTTATTATTTATTGGTTGATCTAATATTTACTAGTATATTAATTATTTAAAAAAAAAATCAAAGGTAAATTACCTAATAATATTCAAAGTGATTAAGTTACCTAACATAAATATATATTTGCCTAAAGAAAAGTCGTTTTAAAAGACGATTTTAAATAACATATATCTTGTTTTTTGCAAATATGGAACATACCTCAGAGGTTTTCATACTTTTAGTATTTTGGAGTTTTTTAAGGATAAGATTTTTCCTATTGTGGACAGCTTCATATACAGGGTGAATCTTAAATAAGTGCAAATATTTTCAGGGGTGGTATATTTCGACCCCAGGAACACGTCTATGCGTTTTTTTTCGCTAAAAGAAGATGTTGAAAATCGTGCATTTTCTTTTAATTTCCCTGTATATTTTTCGAAAACATTTTAGAACTGCCTGTTCACCGCAAATTTTCCCACGGTATAAATTCTTAATCTGATATTACCATAGTTATGGCTTTACTATATGATTTTAATTTTCAAACTAAAATAACTCCGTTATTTTGGACTTATCTGAAAAATGGTAAAGAGAAAATGTTTCTTTTATCAAGATCTACCAGCCCTGAAAATATTTGCACTTATTTAAAACTCACCCTGTATATATCACTTTTATTAGTCACACTTTAACTTTATCACATTACAAAAACAAACTTTCAAAAAGAACACAAATCTCAAAAATCGTCGGAAATCCAAATCAACTCTTTATTATCACGGGTCAAACAGTATACAAAAAGCACAAAAAGTGACATTAATTAAATTTCTTTATTAAAATATGTTTTGACTTTTCAATATAAAAATATATTTTAATGTTTGCCTGGTTACTGGTTCTATGTATTGCCCATTCATCATAGCTATTTTCCAAAGTAGTATTTTAAAACATTTCTAAAAAAGAATTTATCGCTATGATTTAATTTTTGTTTAAAATTTATATAAAAAGTATATTGAAATAATATGATAAATATTTTCAAAATAATAAATACAGGGTGGCGCCTCTCATACGCCGCGGAGACTCCAAGGAGAACGACAGTTTGTATTGAAATGGAATTTTGTGAGCATATGTAGGTTAATTCAGAGCACTTTTTAAAAATATACCTATAGAGTTCTACAGGGTGTCTCCAAAAAAAGTTACATATCAAAGTTGTGTTTTTTGTAATGGAACACCCTATATATTAATTGATTTTCGGATTCTGGGAGAAAAATCAAGGTGAGTTTTATAAGAAAAATATATGACTAAAATGTAAGGTTTTTGACATATTTAACATTTTCTAGAAATAATGAACAATTTTTTAAATTACAATAAAGGCTACCTAAATGGGAATTTACCCGGTATAGCCTAATATGTAGTTAAATTAACTATTGTACTTTAAATCAAATTAAAACTTGATCCAAAAAGTTATACAGGGTGAGACAAAATTAATATTGAACATTGGTCACCTTTAAAAACATGTTACTCCCTTATTTTAAAGGGAACACCCAGTATATTATTCCGATATTCAATGAAGAATTCATGTCTCTTCAAAATACTATTAAGGTTGCCTACCCCTCAAACAAAGATTTTCCTAGATATTTTAATTTACATGATTTGATCTGAGTAGATCTTTATTATTTGATAAAATCTAGGGTGGCTGTGATATGTCTGACGTTACTTCAACATAGCTGTCTAATTAGTCCAACTTTAACAACTAGTAATTATTTTGTGTCAGTTAAAACAAAAAAATTCTCAGAAATTTGCCGAAAACGCAAACTTATCCTACATAAGAGAGAATTGATATGATTCTATTAGTTGGTGAATGCACAGTGCATTCGCCAATTTAGAATATGCTCCTGATTTTATCTAGTCTGTTTTTTTATGGGGATATGTTAAAGACAGTGTTTACAAAACTCGTGTCCAACTAGTGTCGAGAACATGAGAGAAATTATTGTAGCTGCTTTTCGAGGTAGAACTCCACACAATGCCGTTTAAAATAAAAAGATCCTTTTGAAAAGACAATCATTTTATGCAGTTAACAGGAAAGAAAGCATTTTGAGCATTTCATTTCGTCTAGATTCTAATTTTTGTCGCATAATTATAGGTTTATATCTAGTTTTAATTCTGTAATAATTAAAATGTTTTCAACGTGTATCTTTTTATCACCCTTGAGTATTTTACTCTATAATCTTTAATTTTTGTTAACACAGCCACCTAGATTTTTTCAAATAATAAAAATTTACTGACTCATAATCATAAAAATTAAAATATATCGGAAATTCTTTGTCTGAGGGGTAGGCAACCTTAATAATATTTTGAAGATATATAAATTTCCCATTGAACACCGGAAAAATATATTGGGTGTTCCATAAAGGAGTAACTTGCTTTTTAAAAGTGACTAATGTTCTATATTAATTTTGTCTCACCCTGTATAACTTTTTCGGGTCAAATTACAATTTGGTTTGGCTATATATATATATATATATATATATATATATATATATATATATATATACGAGGGGTAAACCGCAGAGGAATTATGGTGTACACTATGAAGGAATTCTACAGGAATTCCAAGGAATTACGAGGAATTCCAAAGAATTCCAATTATTTCCGTAAGAATTCCAATGAATTCCAAGGAATTCCTTAGAAATTTAGAGGAATTCCACAGGAATTAAGAGGAATTACAAGCAACTTTATAAAAAATTAACGAACATTAGTAAACCATGAATACTATAATAGGTAGTACTAAATTTAAAGAAAAACGTTTTGCAGGCGATTTTTTACTATCCGTTTTTCGTTTTCGCTTCCAAAATTTCCCAATATCAAATATCTACAGGTTAGATATTCTTTTAATTTAATATTGTACCCTCGATTATATATCTAAAATATTTTCCAATAGTACGGCCGAACCACCCCCGAGAGATCTACTTATAACGTTCCCTGATTTCGCCATTTTAAAGAAACCCTCATAAGATTTTTTTATTCAGTACTCCAGAAAGTGTAAAGTTGATTTTTTCATTTCCTCGGAATAATACCTAGGTATATACTATAGGGAAATTAATACAACTTTAGGTGCACTTCATCAATGATACCATGCGTAATCTTATGGAATTTACTGGTGATCGTATTATGACGTGCAACTGAAGTTTTATTAATTTCCTTTCCTATAGATACGAGTATAACTAGGTACCTATCATTTTCAAAATCCCGAGAAAAAATTAATTTTAATAAGTAAGTGCCGACATATTTCCAGTATTTTTACCTCATGATCCCCTATTAGTCCTAAAATTTAACTCAAAAAACGTAAATCTCGTAATAGTACTTTTTATTGTTAGATCTAGTACTTATTCATAGCGGAACTGCGAAACCGAGGTGGCAACGCTGGTTCAGAGGGAAAGAGTTACCGAGTTCGTACCAAGGAATTCCAAGAAAGACCTTGAATGATTGACCTTGACCTTGAAGACCAGGAATTCCAAGGAATTCCGAAGGAATTACGAGGAATTCTGAGGAATTATTTGAGTAAAAGGAATTACGGTGTACACTTTTCGCTCTGCGGTTTACCCCTCGTATATATATATATATATATATATATATATATATATATATATATATATATATATATATACAAAGGCTATACAAGGTTAACTAAAATTTAGGTAGCTGTTATCGAAATTTAAAATTTATTCTTTATTTTCACAAAATGTATGTCAAAATTCCTTAGATCATAGAGGTATATGCTTCTTTAATTAAACTCACCTTTTTTTTCCCTAGAATCCCAAAATCAATTAATATATAGGGTGTTCCATTAGAAAAAAAACAACTTTGATGTGTAACTTTTTTTAGGGGACACCCTGTATACTTAATTCTTTTTATATTTTTATAAAATGCTTAAAATGCTTTCAGTTAATCTACATCTGCTGCCAACATTTCATTTCGATATAAACTACAGTTCTCCTTGGAGCTTCCGCGGCGCGATGAGAGGCGCTACCCTGTACATAATATGGCATAGATTTAACCACGAAATTTATAAGATCTAAGCATTTCGTGTATCAAATTTTAACAGCAAAATATTAGTTCAAACGTACGCACCTTGACTTCTTCCAACGGCGTGTTATCAGGTATCTCCCTCAATATCACGATGCACCTCTTGTGATTGGGTCGCACTTTAACACCTTCCTCGTCCACCTGCACGTTGGGCGACTCCCGCATCATTATGATTTTTGAAGATTCTGACTTTGACAAGAGAAAATTATTTCTGTTTTTGTTTGCCGTTGTTCTTAGCGACCGCTATAGCAGCGCCAGATCGCGTATAACGGTCGCGACCCAAAATAATTTCGCGATCCAAAATTTATGCGGGCTTTCCAATCTAAACTTGTTGCATTTATCTATGATTGAAAAGGTTTGAAAAAAATGACAGTGACATTTCGAGAATTTTCAGTGACAAGCAAATAGTTTGTTTAAATATACATTTTTCGTCTCAATCCACAATTTCATTCCTTCAAATCGGAGTGCTAAAAAAATCATGATCAGATTTTTTTGATTTTATTAAATTTTGTATTTAAAGTCCAAACCAAACCAAACCAAACCAAACTGTCCGATATTGACAATATTAACATTTCTACTGCGCGTGTCGTTTTACCACATCGGTCACCGATATATTTTATTCTGTAAACTTTGCCGATGCCCCTATTTCGGCAAAAAAAAAATCGGCGGCTTAGATCAAAGGGATTTTTTTGGAAATAGTCATGACTGTCTTTTAAGTCGAGAATAAAATTAGTACCATCTAATGTTCAAAGTGCAAAGTACTTATTGCAGAACAAAATGTCGGTAGAAATTTGGAATGAACTAGAAGATAAATTAGCTTGATCAACATTCAGCTGTTTCAAAAAGGTATAAAACAGCCTTGACTCCAGGTTATCTTTTGACATTAATTAGTCCTCGGGAATAAAAATAAAACCTGACATCAGAAGAAACTACTCCTGCAGAGTTTGTGAATAAAATGTATTCAAATACCGGATTTCTGGCACTTCACAATTTCAAAATAAATCTCTACCATTTAGAAGTGTAATGGATTCACACGAAATAACTTCAAAAATCGTTCCAACATTTTAGTAGATGAATAGATATTAGGGATATGTGTTATATGTTGTATCTTTTACAATTATTTTTCAATCTATTAAAGTATTTAAACGTTACAACAGCAAGTGTAACTTTGTACTTATTTGATGAATAGATATAGGGTATATTTGAAATAGGAATACTTTTTTATAGCTTTATAGGAAAAGTATTTATAATTTTTACAGTTATCTTTCGATTTATCATAAGTTTTTAAACAAGTTGATTTTTTTAATTTAAATCCATGATTAAAATCCGTTGATTTGAATCAAGTTGATTTAAATCATTGCACCCTGCTTCAAATTTATGCCAATAATTCGATTTTAAAAATCACTAGGTATGAGCTGACTCATTCTACATTTATTTTTATTATTTTTTTAGTTTTATTATTTGTAAAGTAAAACTCACGGTAAAACTATTTTTTAAAGCTCATTTGTTTTATAGCAACATTTTAAGTTCGTTGATTCTGAAAAAATGCTTATTTTATTGAATCTGAAAACGTGAGGGTGTAAAAAACGAATATTATACCAAATGAGGATCGTATCTAAAAGAGGTCCCGAGCTGGTCAAAAGCGAATGCGGAAATCGAACATCTGCGACCACCCCTAATGGACTCCCACTTACTGCACCCCAATATTTCGATATTATATTAATAATAAAAAAGTAACTACATAAGTATCCGACATTCTCGAAAAAAAAGCATTAATATTTAAAACACCCTTTAATTTATCTCTTAGGATGGGTAACTAGTTAAATTACTACTTAAATTTCTAGTCTACTTTACTACTCATCCCAATATTATTTTTTCATTTATAAAAATAGTGTTTTATAGAAAAAGATAATAACTACAACCCATATTATCGATTTCATCACTGAATAAACTTTTTTATTCATTACTAACAAATCTAGAATTTTAAGAAGCGTAACGACCATATACTTTAAACATTTAATGCATACGACAGAGATAAATATATATACAACCAGTTGACAGACAGAGAGACAAAATAAAAAGGAACACTCGGTGTTGCCGGTTCGTATGAGAAATAAAATAATAAACGAAGATGATATAAGTAAGCAATTCAGTAATGCTCATTTCTGTTAGACAGTTTGTTTAAGAATCTATTACAGCTTTAGTAAAATGAGTAACTAATTGTGAAAAGTAAAGTTCCAACGCTAGATTCAACGTTTTTCGTAAACACCTACTTGTGGCGGTTTGAAATTTTGATGCAAAATCCGGCAATACTGCATAGAAGAAATATGTCAACCTAACTTTAATCTCTTTTTTATACATTTGATTGTTACATCACTGTCTTACAATTTACTGATACCAGATCGGTATATCGGGTGCGTCTCAAAAGTGGCTCACCCCTATAACTTTTTTATTTTTAAAGTTAAAAAAACGAGATTTGGTATATTAGTATATGACATAAATTAGGATTGATTGACGTATTCAATTGTTTTAGGTCACTTCCTGTTTCACCGAAAATGACTACAACTTTTGATTTTTAAATTGCACCCTCGGTATTTTTTACTTTATCCGATAGAAAATAACACTCTGAATAGAATGACATATAAAATGTCAACTTTTGACATTTTCGCATATGGTTTATTTGAAATTGTAACATGCGGTTCGTAACGACAATTTGACTCGAAATACCAAGTGTGTGGTATCAAATTATTCGTAAAAAAATGCTTTTTCCAAATATGCTAACGAGCCACCCTCATTCCATTTGAAAAAATTGAGATATGATTAAAAATACGATTTGAGCATTTTCTAACTGGCAGGACAGGACACTAAAAACATTAGACGATCAAATCTATTTTTCCAAGGCTCCTTAATAAGAATTAGTTGTTTTTAACATAACCATGGCACTCTTAGATTGAATTTTAAAATTCAACTTTGTTTTAAGCAAGAATGTCAAAAGTTGACATATGATGTGTCATTATATTCAGAATGTCATTTTCTATCGAATAAAGTAAAAAAATACCGAGGGTACCATTTAAAAATCAAAAGTTGTAGTCATTTACGGTGAAAAAGGAAGTGACCAAAATCAATTAAATACTTTTGAGACGCATCCGGTAGACAATAGCTGTGGTATATCTCTTTAAATTTAATCTGAAGAAGACAGTTATAAAATATTGGAGAAAAGAATGCAGAAATATTTCAGAAAATATTATAAACAAAAGACAAGAAGTATAAAATATGAAGTGGTGAGTCTTACCGTGAGAAATAGTACTCCAACTGTTGAGAGAGCATCTGTTTGAGCTGCGGCAAAGGGTAGGCGGGGAGCTGTTGCTGCTGCTGCGACTGGGCCGTGTGCGGGGGAGGGCCTGCCGTGTCCGGGAGACCCATCATGGGCCCCTCGGCTACTTCGGCTACCCCGTTAACGAGCGGTACGTGCTGTACCGGAACCTAGAAAAATAAAATAGAATTTGGTGATGTCCTATGGCATGGCTATAGTCTACCAAAAAGTTCTGAAGCGAATTAGTCTTTGTTTAATATTTAGCTTTTGAAGAAAAAGATTAAGTTTAATTGTTCGAATTGAAACATTTGAATATTATTTGAAACTGGCGTGTACCCGCGACTTCGTTCGCGTCGAATTAATCATTTGTAATGGTGATGATAAAGCAAAGCAAGAATTTCCATTAACATACAAACTGGATAAAATTTTCTCACATTTATGTCAGCATGAGAAAAAACAATATGGCGATATTATTATACATATAACTTGGTAATATTTGAGGGGTAGTTTCATCTCGTTGGAATTTGAGTTTCGAAAAATCCGTTTGCCAAAAATAAGCTTTTTACATCAAGCAGTTTAAGCAGAATCGTGGTTAATCAATTACCCAGCTTTTTGGAACACCCTGTATGATTTTTTAAAAAAATTCAAAATATGTGAAAAAAACAAAATAAATTATGCGTCTCCAAGCGTTTTCCCGAAAGACTAACCGTTTTTTAAATAACAAATATTGAGAGGCGTTTTCACCCTCTTGGAATATGAGATTTGAGAAACCCCTCCTTATCGAACCTCTACACCCTACATTCAATCCGTTTACCAAAAATCAGCTTTAAACGTCAAGCAGTTTAAGCAGATTCGTGATTACTCAATGGTCATATTTTATAAAACACCCTGTATAATTTATTAAAAAATCCTAAAATATGTAAAACAACAAAATAAAATATACGTGTTTAAGAGTTTTTCCGAAAAACTCACCGGTTTTTAAATAAAAAGTATTCTAAAATTTGAGGGGTGGTTTCACCCCCTTAGAATTCGAGTTTCGAAAAATCCCTTCTTATCGAACCTGTACACCCTAAAGTCAATCCGTTTTCCAAAAATCAGCTTTTTACGTCAAACGCTTTAAGCAGGATCGTGATTAATCAATGACCAGATTTTTCGAAACACCCTGTATACATTTTAAAAAATCTTAAAATAAAAAACAAAATAAAATATACGTGTTTAAGCGTTTTTTCGGAAACTTGGCCGTTTTTTAAATAAAAAATATTGTAATATTTTAGGGGTGGTTTCACCCCCTTGAAACTGAAATTTCAAAAAATCCCTTCTTATCGAACCTCTACACCCTAGAATCAACCTGTATGCGAAAATTGAGCTTCTTACGTTGAGCAGGATCGTGATTAATCAGTAGGTCACTTAAGGATTTTATATATTAGTATAGATTATTTTGTAAAACAGTCTTGGCAGCAATATAAAGAGTACTAGTTGACAGTTATATAGCAATATTTAGCAGTAAAGTCAAGTAAAGTGGAGATATAGAAAATCTACATTATATATTAATTTCGTAACCAAAGCGAAAATATTTTCGGAACATATTAAAAAATCAATAAACACTTTTCTATTTATGTCCCAAATCTTTATTAGGCGCAAGCCAAACATTTAGCCTGTCACCATTAAATAAGATTAAAAGGTAAAAGTCCGGAGCCGTATACAGAAAAGCTATCAAAATCTTGCAAAAGCCAGGCGAAGCAGAAGCTATTTTTACACAAGCTGGAGATGAAAATTTTCTCTTCAAAGCTTTGCTTTGCTTTTGATATAAATCATTTTTTAGATAATAAAATTTCAGTTACTCAAATACATGTTTGTTATTCTTTGTGTTTTTATCAAAATAACGGATCCGACGTATAAAGTTAAAGTGTATTGAAAATCTACCACCTTAAACAAAAACTAAGTTAAAGTAAAAATGTCAAAATCTGTGATTTTTTGTTTTAACATTTTAATTTTCTAAAGCAGTAAAACATAAATAATTTTTGTCAGAAAGTGATTATATCAGTTTAACAGTTTTCACCTTCTCGATACCTTTAACAATAACAGGGATACAGGGGGTGACCCAAATTGCAAAATTTTCAAAAAACTTTAGCTTTCAAACAGCAAGTAGCTCAGAAACGAAGAGAGCTATGAAAGTTTTGTTTATGGCATCTTCCGTTTGACAAAAAAGTGGGACAGATTTGTGCAAACCGCACCCTTCTATCTTCACTAATAACGGAGATAACGTATGATTTCAACTAGGGAATGCAATCCCGCACCAAAATATCAATCCCGCAAAGCCGCGGGATTAAAGTAATCAATCCCGCGGATCCGCAAAATTGCGGGACTGTAAACAATAGTCATACATTTGGTCCTAAATGGTGCAAAAGGCATTGTACATTTTGCAAAGGCCCACAATATATTGATATAGCGTTTATCTTAAACAGAAATTTGGACACCGATGTATACAGGGTGTTCAAAAAATATATTTAATATTAAATAAACTTAAATTTTATTATAATTTATCTACTTATTTTATAAATAAAAATATTACGATTAAAGTTTTTTTTACTTGTGTTCTGCTTTTAGATACACTCTATATCAACAATTTTTTGGCATATGCAGAATGTACAAAGCTTTTTGTACCATTTAGGGCCATACGTATGACTAAAAATGCATATTTTTCGAAAAAACGTCGTATTTTCCTTAAAACAAAAAAAAATAAAAAACCGAATTGTCATTTTCTTCAATCAAATTGTTTTTTTTCTAATTTCAATACAGATTCGTCATACTTGGTAAAAATTTCGTTTTTTTAAAAGTTGTAAATTTGCGGTAAAAAAGATTCTTGATCAAATTTTCGCACTGTTATAAAACACCCTGTATACGAGAATTCGCTAAATATATTTTCGAAAACCACATCAGCATCTTAATCACAATAGATTCATCTAAAACCTGGTCCAAACCGCATCTCAAAATCTTTTTTAGTTCAAGAGATATTCAACTTTAAATTTACCCTAAAATTTTGCTTGTCCCAATAATTATGTCCGGCAATTTATTTGACGAAATTGTGCCCAAGTAGTAGTTAAAACGCTTTTCTTCACTTACGCACATACGCCAGAAAGAAATCTAACAACTAGCGTGTTTGTTTCACTTATTTTTAATGGCCAAGCCGTAAGGGGAATCCCCCGGGTTCCGAGCGTCGACGCATCGGCCAGGAATGAAGCGGTTTGATTTTAATTGAGATCGATTCGGTTACCCAGTAGTAATGTGTTGATCCCGCGGATCCCGCACGGTAAATCCCGCGGAATCTCAGAGGGATTCCGCATTTGCGGGATTGCATTCCCTAATTTCAACCAAAATGGAACATCCTGTACAAAATTAAAAAAATTGTAGATGAACTTAAGGAGAAAAAGAATTTGTCTCCGGTTTGACTGAAGGGTCTAATGAGGCAGAAACAAATTCTACAAAAAGAGAAAATACTAGGCACTGGAAACAAAGGAAATAAATGGCAACTTAAGTGAAACAGAGGATAACAATGTTGTGTTGAAAATGAAACTTTGCAATGCTGTAAAATCTTTATTAAAAAGTATTTACTAGGTAGAAGAAAACGATGGTTCCATGCAAGATATTTTGGTTTTGAAAGGAGTAAAAGAGAAGGCTGTCGAGGCAGCAAAATCGATAAGTAAGTATGTATGCAGATGAAAACCGATTCATTTTTTTAAAAACCAATTAATTCAAACCAATCAATTCAATTCAAATTAAATTTTTATTTCACATTTGTTGACATTATTATGTAAGTATTTAATGTGTATTAAGGTGCGACAATCATTCAAGACAAGACTAATACTAATAGACATCTAAAGCTGATGAGGTTGACGAACGAAACAATGTGAAGATTTTGTCATTCTGGAGAAAAAAAACGACAAAACACATTTTATGATGGTGCGACAGCCTGGCAAATGTGCGGTTCTTTGTACTAAGCAATGATAGACCATGACCAAGACCAAGACTGGAGTCTGCAAGACCAAGACTATTTATTAGATTCCAAGATCAAGACTAAGAGAATCTTGGTTTTGTATTTGCTCCAACGCTAAGTAAAACAAAATAACTTTTATGTAACAAAGAAGGCTAAAATTTTGTCAAAAAGTGCAGAAGCAAAACAAATGAGAGAAGACGATGATGGAAACAAGTGAGGAATATAGTAGATAATAAAGATTATATGATAGAGATGAGCAAAGAAACAACGATTGCGATTTTTAAATTGTACAATAAATAATAAATAATAATTTATTAATTATTTTTTTTTGTACATTCGCAACAAAATCGTAAATCGCAACTCCTAAAAATTCAAACACACAGGTAGAAGATTATCACGTTCCTAGTTTACAAAATCACAATCACAAAGTCGCAAATCGCAACAAAATCGCAACTCGCAACTATAGTAATATTGGTTGCCTAAATTGAAACTCGCAAATAGAAGAAGTCGCAGCCGCATTTCCTATGAGAGCCAATCGCTTCTTGCGATTGCTATTTTAAAATCGCTGCGATTGAATGGCAGTTTGCGATTTGTTGCTCATCTCTATTAAGTGAACCTTTCAAAATCTAGAGCGCCTAAATCGAGCAAAAAAACTGATTGCTTTGGATTCAACCTTTTTGTCTGTTTTCTTTCGTGTTTCCCTAAATGACAACCTTGGAGTCCTTTCAAATTCCAGTCAACATTAGATAAATGTGGTCCTAAATAAAATCTACAAATCTATACTAGGTAAGTGTATTTCTAGATACTGACCACTGCCGGGCCCTGTGTGGGGGGCATGTACTCGTGATGGTGGTGATGAGTTTGGTGGGGGACCACTGCGCCCCCTGGCGGCCCTGCCATCGAGGCGGTGCCCGACGAGGGATCAGGAACGGCGCTGACGTACGCTGCTCCCGAGTTGAGTTTAGCACTTTCCCCATTCATATAGCTAACGCCTGCGAATACAAAAATAAAACACAAATTAGAATTGAATGAATTTCGATAATGTTCTTAAAAATAAGTTTGTTTAACAGCTATTAAATTGAAGGATTTGAAGGAGATGTTTTAAGAAGTGTAGTTTGAAATGTTGAAACAGTAATAAATTAAAAATTAATAATTGATTTGGTTCCCTTTCACAAAATTTGTATTAAAATATCAATATTTGATGCAGGCTGTGTCTCGCTAGTTCGTGTGTCACGGCCTTGAATTTTTTCCTCCCAGCGCGCGTCGTGCTACTAATTTCAAATATTTTGTTGCATATTTGACACTTTCTAACAATTTTTTCCAATAAAACTAGTTTATATAGTCTATAAAATGAATAACTTTGAATTTTGACCGTTATTTCTTACCAACACGGCAAATAAAATTCCTCTGTCTCTGTCAAAAAAGTTACTGATATTCTTTAAATTGAGTGCCTGAACGAATCAGATAGGTCACTCTTTTTACTTTCGTGAAATAGAAAAGGAAAATAATAAAACAAGTGACAGTTCTTCTTCCAAAAATCAACACGAAATGTCATAATTGTCAAATCTAAAATGTCAGCTTTTGACATTTCTAAATATCAGACCAATGCCGTTTCTAATAGAACAGCCTCGGAGCGAGATTTATGACGTCACGCTAGTTAGATACTACGGATTAATAAATATGTTGTACAATACATGGAAAACATAACTATTCCTCGTATTTTTGGTTTGTATTTGAAAAACAAACTTTGATTTTAAAATACAAACCAAAAATACGAGGAATAGTTATGTTTTCCATGTATTCTACAACATATTTATTAATCCGTAGTATCTAACTAGCGTGACGTCATAAATCTCGCTCAGAGGCTGTTCTATTAGAGACGGCATTGCGTCAGCATGGCCGCAAGTTGCTAACCTAATACAATAAACACTAAAAAAGCCCGCGGGAACTGTCAAATTCAAGGTTATTCATTTCACAGACTATACCTTGATAGTCCATTTCACCATAGTCCGAAAAAGTAGCAAAATAAGTGTTCGGCATTTAACGTTTTATGTAAAACTGGCTAGGTATTTTTACACAAATGAAGAAGGAAATTAAAGATAAAGGATTATACTATATCAGTATTGTAGCATATTTTTAGACAACTTCTTTATTTTTAAGATTTTGATGGTCAAACATCAACGAAATATTCCTTATGTTTGGACTAAATTTTCTCGAAAATAAAGACATATATTTAAAATTCCGTTACAATATGGAAATAGATTGAAGTTTTGTGATTACAGTGATACATAATTTATATGGTGTTGTAACAAATTGCTCGTTATTTTATGGCAAATGTTGAAGCTCTGCAAACATTAATCAAGCCTTAATCAAAGCACGTGTGTTTGGAATTTTGGGTGTGGCTTAATACGACAGGATCGGATCAATTTTGGAAATTGTACCATGCAAAAGACCAAGATTTTTTCCATTTTAAATATTATGTCCAATGAAAGCTCGAGAAATTGGTTTAATTGCAAATTCCACATTGTCTACCGCCTTTAAACAGAAACCGTTCTATTTTTACACAATTAATTACTATAATTTAACAGCTATTTTCGTTTTTATTACTTGTTAAGTTAGTATTTTTTGATTTGATACATTGATACCAGTAACGGACGACGATGTATTTGTTTAGAAAAAAGTGCATTTGTCTGAACGCTGACGTTAACAAATACAGGTAGTTCGTTAATTGTTGTTGTTGCAACTTTGTTCTCTAACTCTCTAACGCTTATTACGTCGTCTGAACAGGCCCTTATGTGCGTTTTACGATATTTTAAGTCCCGTAGAGATAATTGAATTTTCCAACAAAACCGGCCAGACATAAAAACACTTTAGACAATGTAAAAATAAATCTACGATAAAAATGTTTCGTGTATAATATGAAGATAACGACAGACATGACAGTAATGATAATATTTTGTTTTAAAATAACAGATTTAGAATATGTATGATCAAAAAGTTTTATAATTGTAGTGTGTATGAGGATTGCATGAATATTTTTACAGTCCGGAGCCAGTAATGACCTTTTTTTGATGACAAAATCTCAAGAACTTTTTCTTTATGTCATGGGATTAACGAGTTTCAAAAAAGCAATTTTTTTTAAGAAGAATGCATTTTTCTCAAAATGTCAATAATAAAAAAGTTTTTCTACTTGTAAAAACAATCCGGGACATACTGTAGAATTATTTTAAGAAATAAAACAAAGTTCGGAGAATCTAAGACTTAAACCCGTTGGGAAAACCACGTTTCATTTATGAAAACAAAGTAATGTAACAAAATACAAATTTTATATACCCTCTTCAAATATAACCAAAGCCAAAAAAACATAATCAGCTACCCCTAGATTTTACCTATTTAAGGTACAAACATATTACCTATTATTATTTACATTCTAATATATGTCAACGTCATCCAGTATAGCATATAATTTCAGAATATGAGATAACAAAAAAATGAAGAATGATCCCCAATCTAGAATCAGCTGATATATTTTTTTAAGATCATGTATATATCAAGCTAAACAGAGGTAAGCTACTCTAAGTTTTATTGTATTAGCAATTACCATAGTAGAAGGAAAAAGTTTGTTTTTTATTTTAAACAAAGGTGTAATAATTAGGTGGACAAAACTTGCAATGTGACTGTGTTGACGTGCTGTATATTTTATTTAGTTTATTTAATTTAAAGATGGTATTCCCATCTAATTCCATGACTAATTATAAATGGTAACGTTTTTTTATATCAATGATGACTAAAATACACATGAAAAGTAAACGTAATTTATATGAATCTTATGTCAAATATTAAAAAACTGATATTGAACAATAGAATTACTGTCTACAAATAAAACACAAATATTTTGAAGCTCAGAAAAATAAGTAAACAAGAGAAGTTTTAAAATATTTCCGGATATAACAACTATGCTTTTGTTTACATAATTCAACTTTTCGCAAGAGGATCATCTAACAAATTTAGAATGCAATTAATGTACAGGGTGTCCCATTTTTTGCGGGGTTTCTCGTTTATGAATAGTATACCGTATGATCGAATAAAAACGGCGTCAGCGATGGCTATGAAATGAAGATCGCTGTCATTTTATATGTAAAATTATAAGGGAAATGTCGTCGGATCGTCATTTCATAGCCATAGCTGACGCCGTTTTTATTCGATCATACGATACAAAGATGCGGTTTTTGTATTATTGTGCTACTTTCATTATGAAACTAAAGATCCTATACACAAATTTATCTAGCCCTCTTAGTTTAAGGCAAATAAAATAAAAAAATGATACACAGGGTGTCCCATTTAAAAAAAAGACATAAGATTGAATAATATTGCTTTTTTTCATACTGCTTGACAGCTCTCGTGAAAAACTAGTTAAACGTAAGATTTCTACGTTAAAAACTCTACGGGACGTAGTACACACTTTTCGATAAGTTATAAGATAACCAAGATACGAAGGGGCTCGAAAAATGCAATATTTTCAAATTGTATTTCAGGAACCACGGGGGTTAGAACAAATCTGCGTGTAGCATTTTTATTTTCATTGAAAATAGCGTAGTAACGTGAAATACTCATAAAGGAGAAACCCCATAAACACAAGAAAATGGGACACCCTATACAGGAATATAATTATTTCGGGCAAAAAATTTCGTCTTATTGTTGTGCCCTGTATATGCTCAAAATAAATTCGGAATAAAAATTTCTGAGGTAGCATCCGTTAAGAAGGAATTACTTTACAATTTAAAAAAAAATCATCAAAATCTAATGAGTGGTTCGCGAGAAATCCAACTTTGAAATTGGGACTAATTTTTAGTGGCCGGTTTCTTTTTTGCCGGTAAGTTTATGATTAAACAAAGAATAGCATCAGAATTGGTTTGGAAATAAAGATCGCTGTTATTTCATATGTAAATTATTATGGTAAATGTCAATAGTTCGTCATTTCCAAGCCAACTAAGCGACTTTTTTTTCGATTATACGAAATATTCAGTACCTATAAAAGAATTTTTATTTTTGTTGTTTATTCTATGTTTAACACGAATAAATTTTCAATACATAAACGCGGATTTTTCATCCAAAGACATTTTCGTCAAACGTATTGCAGATATTACACATTTTAATATGGCAACAATGTCGCTTTCAGTTCCACACCGTCTTTGAAATGCCTTCGCTAGCCGAATTAGAGAAAATGAGTGTTTTATGCGTTGGCCGCAGAACGATTGGTGGCTCCACCGTACAGCACTTGAGACGTAAGAGGAAATCAAATCAGCCTTGCCACGAATTCACCCATTAGGCGCGTATCTTCCCAATTCTTTCAATCAACGCTAGTATGCAATTTTCTTACAATTTAAAAAATCTTTACTGTTTCTCTTATAGTTTCAATCAAATTTGGTATTTAGAATTATTTATTTACCTATTATTTTATTTAGAATTTATAAGCGTGGATTTAAATTGCACTATTCAACTTTTGACTAAAAAAATCCAATTTTTCTATTCTAGTAGGTACTCGTACTACATATATATTTAATTAATATATATAATTAATTTTAATTAATATTCAAGTAATTTTAATTAGATATAAGTACTAAGCAATGTCAAAAAATCGATAAACTTTGGTTTAGTGATAAGAACTACCGTTAAACAAACAAATATTATTTTATTGTGTAACGAACTAAAATATTTTACAATATTATTAATTACAATTTCTATGAATCGTTTAGTTTAAACCTCTTTCAGGTTCAAAAAAGTTTAATAAGTCTGAGTTACTTTTATTATAGTAATAAGTAATAAATAGCCCAACTACATCAACAGACGGGTTCTTGCTCAATCATCAAAATTAAGCGACGTTAAACGCGGCGAGAGTTTGGACGGGTCACCGTTTCAAAACATTGTTGTGCTATTGTCTGAAGGCAAGAGTATAAAATTTATTGAGACGCACTGTTCACGTGCAAGAATA